GCCTGATCGGGGTGAAAGCCGGCCGGCTATCTTCAGGACTCTATGCGACGTGTCGAGCTACCACTAATTGGGACACTCTCTTCGCCACTTCCCGATTACCTCAAAGAAGATGCCTGTTTTCACGGACGGTTTAGCCTTCGCGCAAGTACATATCCGCACTATTTCTCGCTTTCTGTCGGCTATAGAGGCTACACAGAACCTTTTGCGTGTGGTATCGTTGCCAATGCGATGCAACGGGACTGAGTGTATTGCTGCTACAGAAAATTTCTCATCTATCCCTCTACATGGATTGTAAGGACCAAGTTTTTACGCGTATTTCGTCCTGCTACCTATCCCGTTTATCCCGTGTCGTTTTTCGTATCAGGTGGGATAAGCCGCTACTGAAGCAGCGAAAGCTTCGGTGTTGGGATGTTTCTCTATATGAACCTTCTCGTGAATGCTCGCAAATGGTCTAGCGTTGAAAGACATCGGCCAGGTAGATTGCAAGTAGACAAACAAAGCCATTTTCAGGTCTTGGAGGCGATGAGTGATGACTTCGACCTCCATAAAGGTGTTCCGTCTTACCCAAACTAAGTGGCGAAGCAATAAGAAAACAGGTTCTCCAGCAGTTGGGTCAATAAGCATGCACAAGTACATATATCAAAGGAGCTTATGGGCTCCTTAGCAAGACTACTGGCGTCATATATGGTACGAACAAAACGGTTTGCTCAGATTAGTGATATTTTGATATTTCTTTTTATTCAGAATGATCGAACCTTAGAAATAAACTGAACAGCAGGTGCCACGAGAGCCATAGGACGGCGAAGTTTGTTGAATATCGTTAATGCCACGAAGGCAACCGAAGGATTGAGGATATTGCTCGAAGATGAAAGAACAAACCACGTAAAACACGCGATTGCCACCTAAATTCCTGATGTCACTCCTAAGAATATTCGATAAACTTGAATGCTACTAATTGGTTTTGTTCAGAGGGAAAAAATTTTTCCGTTTTTGTAATTGCTCCTTCACAATGTATAGTGAATTTGCCTGGTGCTGAAATGTTGCTGATATAGCGCGCATTCTGCGACTCTCTCTCTTGAAAGCTGCATTCCGTATAGCCATCAACCATGGTATCTATGCCTAGTTAAGAGCGGCCATCCACAGAAATTCTCCCGCTCGTCTTCGGGGTTTCGTCTCATACAAGGTGTGCCAGCAAAGCCACCACGAATCTCACCTTTTGGATCACCTCGTGGAACGCTGCAGACATCAATGTGGACGTTTGCAACGCTCCCCTCCGATTTTTTCCTACCATTGAGACAAATGGCACACACTTTTTGCTCAACGCCTCCACTTTCTGCAGCTATTCGCGGCATGTACGAGGGGTGCTCAATGTATTCTCGGTAGAGGTATGGAGGAAAATATAGAAAATCCTGAATAAATTTATCTTTCAATGTAGTTCCCCATTGCCTCAAATCACTTGTTTGCTCGGGAAACTAACTCTTTCAATTCTCTGCGAAGAACTATTTTACTCCTTGTCCGCGAACTGTGCGATAATTGCCGCTTTCAAATTTCATCGGCACAATCAATTTGGAAAAAAGTAATTACTGATTATTACCCCAACTTCTTTTTCATTTTCTCAACTTTTTCATTCCTTTATTTTCATTTTTCATTTTTATTTTCAATTTTCAGTATTCCTTTTCTCAACACTGTCGCATAGTCATTCTGGTCTTCTTTCATCAAGGATGAGTAGAATAGCTTTGAAGATAACAAAACATTCTGTATTTATTTACTCGGGGAGTGTCATCACCTATTGAAAAGATTTGAATTCCTCCCTACCCCGATGCCGAGAATTCTTTGAAAGGTCCTCGTGCTTTGAAGTCTCTCCTGGGCAAGTTTGAAGAATGTCGCTCCTGCACTAAAAGACAACAGCCGCCTCGCTATGTCAACAACACTATTTTTGGGTCACGAATTTTTTTCTTGTCGACCACCCGGATGCCAGACAGGAAGGATTATGAAGACATCACAGCTGAGAGGAGTATTTTAATGTCTGAAGCATGAACATGACCCATTACTTGAGTTCTTATGGTAAACCAAAGAGTAACGTGCATTCTTCGCCTCCTCTCATGTGCAGCATGTGATACGGCCATTACTAATTATTGACGACCACTCTAAACACTGAGGAGATATGAAAAAAATTTCTTCTCTATCTTTCCTTCTTCTGAGCTGATACTGCAGAGTGCAGAGAGAGTCAAAATACCAGTCCTACCGCGTGTTGGAACCAAATTATCTTTAACATTTGTTTACAATGTCATTGGGTGGAAGGATGCAAATAAAATACTCATGCAAGTAGATGAAACACTCATTAAACATTATCTTCGTAAAAAGGAAGGAAAATTCGGATACCAGAAAAGGAGCAGCCGCGTTCACTGCCTGTAGCACTCTTGTGAGAAGTGTAGCCTTCTTCAACATTTGCACCTCATCATTTCGTAAGCGGCGAATTTCCTTCTCGAACGCCTCCTCCCACGCATACATTTTCACGACAGTAATACCGTGGAGGACCTTAAAGGTGGAATAGCATAAAGAGAAATGGTTTTGGGTACGTGCAATTTTTCTGTGCATGCCAAAACTACTCGTTTCAAGCGATTAGTATTTACACACTGACTACCATCGTATCTGCTTTACAGAATGATGGCAGGTGTGGCATATGTAGCATTAACGATTAAAAAACTGAAGTCACTGTATGGAGAGCACACTACGACGAGTGTATGTGGTTTGTCGGATCGCATTTAGTCGGGGCGTCATAAAGAAGCGAGATGAGCCCACCTCCTGGTGCCATGCTCTACCAATGGTGATCGGCTACAGTGCGTAACAAAAGTATGTGGACACCTCAAATTTTTGTTTTGCGAAATTGCCTTTGATTTTGCGATATGAGACCTTTATTGTTGAATTCCTCATAAGCGAAAACATAGGGATACAGCCTCGTTTAACCTTGTGAACTACTGAGCAATTATTTATTGTTTTGGAAAAGTTTCTCAATAAGAAAAGTATGTGGACACTTAAAAGAACAAAAGTATCGTAAAAATTAGAAGCTGGTATTTCCTCCAACGTTCACTACTACTTCAAACATTCTGCCTGGTATGCTGTGGACAAGTTGTGGTAGTATCTTCGTCGATTTCCTCCCATGCAGCAAATACCGCCTCGCACGCTGTTGTACTGCCAACTGTTCATGTAGATTCGCGAACCATGACACCCCCCCCACAAATTTTCGATAGGAATGCAGTCAGGAGAACACGCCGGCCAATCCATCACTTTGATACCATTGCGTTGGAGCCATTTCCTAGTAGAATTTGAAACATGCACGACGGCGTTAGTCTGCTGCAGCACATGTTTCCTGCGTCGTGCCCCACTCAGAAAAGGCAAGAGGTTAGACTCAAGCACTCCTTGGTATTCCTGACGGTTCATACGGCACGATGGGAAGGCAAGCTCCAACTTTCCTCTGCTTCCAAAACCACCCCATACCATGGAAGAGTCGCCTCCGAAATTTCGCCTTGAGAACAACGGGTCGCGACGAACTTGTAGTGCCGATATCCATCTGGACCGTCGAGATTGAACTTTTTCTCATCAGTGAAGATAACCTAAGAAAGAAATGCGCATAAGATGTTGCCTTTCTGATTTTACAAATTTCTCAAAAAACTGCACCTTGTCCCACGACGTCGCCATGTTTGCACGCGCAAAGTTCAGTCTTGCCAGCTGGTGTTGGGCAGTCAGACAGGGAGCTTTCTTCATGGTCTCTCGAGTGATGTGCTCATTTGATCGAATAGAGCGCCATATCGTCATTTTTGAGACCGGTAGATTCATCGCAGCATGGATCTGTGCCACAGAAAGGGGAAGTTTGAGGCAGTACGCGCTATTCTTCTGATGTCTTTTGCGGACAAAGATCGTGGGCGCCCCGAAATAGGTGCTGAATGGTAGCCATCAGGATTCTGGAGGTATTTACCAACGCACGTCGCCGAACGTCCGAGCTGTCGTGCAGTTTCTACATTTGAGTGTCCAGCAGCACTGAGAGCTCGAATCTGAGCTTGTTCTTCTTCGGAGAGAGTACTACCACGACGAGGCATGAGTACAGGTTAATGGGGAGTAGAGACGATAAAAATGGATTGCAGATTTGGAGCCAAACTTTGGACTTTCTCAGGTGTCCACATACTTTTGGTACAAACAAGGAAATTCTATTCAAAAATATGTTACGAAAACAAACCTTCGTTATTGCTCGAGTGCCCAATTATAGGGTTATCGGCCACGAGGAATCGATTGAGGAAGGATCCAGATCAAGAAAGTGTTTTGGTTACATAAAACTGGATTTTGAGGTTTCCACATACTTTTGTTACGCAGTGATCGACTTGGGAAGGGAACAACGCGCGATGATGGAAACTTCGCCGGTGAAGTCAGCTATCCCTGAAACCGACCCGACTGATTGCAACGATACGAACCGCGCATATTTTGTATTCAGTATAAGACTGATCAGATCCAATGTCAATTTTTCAGAGTTGCCGTGTAAACGTTGCCTTTTGGTGCGTTTGTTCTTCAAGTGATTGATTCGTGCAAGTGATTGAACGGTAGAAAATTGAATACAGTAGTACAGCATCGAATCTTTTACCCACTCACACCTTAACTTTTTTTCGGTGTTATTGCGATATTTCGAAACACAGACTGCAAAATGTCTTACCTCTTTTGTAAACTTGACGCGACTGTCCTTCATTTGCATTTGTCTGGTCTAAAAGTTGAACAATCCATTAATGTTTACTATGAAACGAAAATTAAGAAGAATTGGGCTTCATTT